CCTCCGCGCTGGCAGCTGACCGACGGAGGATCGCGGGGCGGCGGCCGACGAGCGCGCGGTCGCGCTGCAAACGACTAGTAATCTGCAGCTCGAATGCGCTCGCGAGGAAAGGCGGTCGAGGCGCAGGTAACCAAGTGAGCTCGAGTGCTCGATTGATCGGGCGCGATTAATTCAAATGGGCGGCAAAGGATGATCGCTCGCCCGTAACGCGTGTCCGCTCGCGATTTGCCCGGGCGCACGCAACTGGGCCGCGAGGAGGCCCACGCGACGCCCCTTCCCCGGTCGCGTTGCCACCCGAGCTCCGCTCCCGTACGCTGCGCATTTAATCGTTCGCTTTTCAATTAGACTTTCATTCGAGTGCCGCGTTCCACGTTGCTTTTGCAAATTCACTCGGGGCCGGATTCATTGTGCGCTTGGCAGCTTGCTCGGCGGGCGCGACTTGCGATCGCGACGCCCCCGGCATGTGGCTTGGAGTCGTGGAAACAGTCGCGACGGCGCAAAAAGACAAAACAAAGCCGACGTCGCGGGCGCACTTTGGGAATTAATTGAGCGAACGAGCGACGGCGGTGGCGGTGACGCTGGCGCAGGCACTGACGGAATAGACGCGCAATTTCAATGACAAATTGATTTTGCGGGGGACGAACGCGAAAGACGACTGCAGCTCGCTGCTGTCGCGAGTCCATGGCGGCCACGCTCGCTGCCGATACGGCGAAACGAGCGCTCGGCGGCGACAAATATTTGAGGTGTCACCGCGAGCCCCGAGACTGAATTATAGTCGTACGTGCGTGCGAACGAGAGCCTCGGCTGATGCCGCGACCAGAATGCAGCTGCGGCGCGGCTTTTTTGCGCGCAGCTGTCGTTCGGTGCGCCGATGACCGATGGTCGACCGCCCGACAGATTGTTTCTTCTTTTTGCCCACGCGCCTGCCATCGGCCTCTTTCGCGCCGTGGCGAGGCGACTGTCGGGCCGTCGAGCGCAATGCTCCCCCTTGGATCAGCTGGCTGCGCGCCGGAGACGTGGTCGCCCGGCCGAATCTCGTTTTCATCGGGCTTTTCAGCGGCACTTTGGCCCGCCTGGAAAAACTCGCGCTCTAATTCAATATTTAAAATGGAAATTCGTCGAAAATGAGTTTGCCGGCGCTAAGAGCGGTCGCGTCGGCGCGTGCGTTGCTCGTCATTTCCCGCAGAGTACATTCATTAGGCAAAGTCGTTAAGTGTTTTCTGCTTCCTTTTTTCGCTCTGCGCACGAGTCGACTGGTAGGCAAGAGGGCATGTACCGGCTGGGCGGGAGAGCCAGGACAAAAAGAACGAGATATCGGCAGGCTGGCTAGTGGTGCAACGCTCATAAATTTGACTCCGGAATTCCATTACTCGCGGCGAGCGCGAATCGATATTTCAGCGTGGAAAAACCTATAGACGGAGCGATAGAGAGGAGCAAGGATCCAACAACAACAATCTCGGCGCTTTTCTGTATTATGTATAGCGATGCCAGACCGCGCGAGCTTCCGCCTCGCATCGGCGGATATCTACGAGAAAAATCGCCGGTTCATTTGAACATCCGCTGCGCTCGTTCGCTATCTGCTCCCTCGCGTACCGCTGGCGCTCGGAGGGGCTCGGGGCTCCACGCTCGCGGGCATGGCTTTCAAAAGAATCGCTCCGATTGGACTGCCACGCGGCCGATTGATGCGTCGCCGCCAAGGCTTCCGTTGGACGCTTTATTAGAGGCAATCGGGCGCCGATCGCGCGCCTCGCGTCAGACCTGGCGACCGGAATATTGCACGGACCAAAAAACAATGAGCGGGGACGGTCGCGCGCGCGCGCAACGACAACTTGGATGCGGGCTCGCGGTTAACACGCACGAAAGTTCGCTCGATAAAGCATTCAGCAAGTTGGGCATTCTTCAGCTGCAAAATGACAGTGAAAAGGTCCGGAGCGGATAAAGCGGCCGAGGCGAGCTTGCGTTCGGCTGATTTCCTCTCTTTCTCGTTTGGCCGCCGTGGATTCGGAGCCGACAATAGCAGAACGATTTATTTTACGGCCGACACGGCGCGTTTCCAGATATTACGGTGAACCGCGCAAACTTTGTGAAGAATGACTGGGTCTCGTATTAATAGGAGCCACTTTCGACTTATATATTTGCTACGTGCCGAGCGGGCTCCCTTACTCCCCGTACCGCTGCCACTCGCTCAGCCTCATGACTGCAACTTTGCGGTTATACAGCTTTTCTTTTCGCGCCACGGAAATCGCGTTTGCCCAGCTGGACACGCTCAAGAGGAATAACACTTTGGCCGCTCCTTCGACCTCGCATTATTATTATTATTATTATTATCATTATGATTATTTGATATGGGGTCGCGCGCTTGCCCGTAAAGCGGCGACTCGCCGCCAGGGCGTGTCTGGCTGGCTGTTTGCTTGGCAGGTATGCTTTGAAAAGTGGCCCGGCCGACTCAATTGGATTAGCCGAGCTACTCCGAGCACTGTAATTCCGGGACAAGCGTGGCGTAAAGCGCCGCCCGCCGCCACCCCCGCCACCCGGAGACGCCGAGCGCTTTTTGCGCGCCGCTCAAAGAGCCGCATTCGGAAGTGCTCGGAGCTCGCGGAGGATGCGATGCCTCGTAGCGTGCACAAAGCCACGTCAAAATCACTGATTGCACCGCTCCCCCTCCCCAAACACGCCGGCGCTTTACCAAGAGCTGGTTCGTTCCCTCGCGCCGACTGCGCTTGTCTTTTTCATTTCATCGAGGGGAGTCAGGTCTGGATCGACTATAGCGTAGCCCAGCGGCCAGTCTTGGACAATAAAGTTATCGCCTGCAGCCAGTAGCAGAGGGTTATCGAGTGGCACAGTCGATGGAAGGCTCCAACGTAAGAGCTCGTGGCTTTCATCGCTGGAATTAAGGCATTATCGCTTTGATCTCGCGCGCGGAGAGGCAGAGAGAGAGAGAGAGAGAGAGAGAGAGAGAGAGAGAGAGAGAGATCGCGCGACAGGGGGGAGCACTTTGCGCGACAAACCACAAATTAAAAGTCAATTTGCCCTCGCGCGCCCCGCCAAATCAAAGCCGAGGATATTCTTTTGAAACAGACTCGACTTGGCAGAGGCCAAGCGGGTCGCGCGGAAAGAGCGGAGAGCACTTTGCCAGCAACGAGCGAGGCGCAAAGCGAGGCAGAAAAGGAATGCAGTTATCGTTGACTTAGCGGCGGAATTGCTGCTTGACTGCGTAGTCTCGCGACGGCCCTCTGCTGCTTCATTTCCTCCTTCGATCCTCATTTCCCGAGGAGACGCGATAGCAGGCAGCCGGCGGCGGCGTCGGGAGGGGGACGGGCGCGATCGATCTGCCGAGGCCGCGCGCGAAAAGCGCTGCGATATGCCAGACGAGAGTCGAGAGGCGTAGGGTCCGAGGCCGCAGCCACGCAAGAAGTCGCAGCCTCCGGTCGATTAGTTTTAGTCGGACGCGCGGAGACAGCGATCGAGGTAACGAGAAGGCAGATGTAAGCTCGATCGGCGCAGCGCCGTCGGGGGCCGCGGATGTTTGGCAGGTGCGCGCGAGCACGTGCGACGAGACAAGAGGGCGCCGCGGAGAGGATAATTGTGCCAAAAGGACCAGCCACTCGGCGCGTCGGGGATCGCTTCGCGTCTGGCAGCCATTGAAAGTCTAGTGGCATTTCGAGGCTCGAGTCACGTCTCGACGCTCTTCCGCGCTTACGGTGAACGGCGCTCGGCCGCGAAACGTCCAATAACGAACGGAACGCGAGCGCGGCGCACGCCGGAGACAGACATCGATGACATTGTCTGCAGCTCGCCGCGCGCCACCCACAAGCGTGCATCGAACGTCTCTCGCGCCCGGAGCGCGCGCGATATCAACGAGAGAAAACACGCCTGCGAGCAAATGATGGGCCGTTGATTAGCGAGAACGTGGAGTTGCCATGGACTCGTTGCCAATCGATCGCCCAAGCATCCGTGCGCTCGCGGACCAACGTACGTAAATTAACGCACGGTAAGCGCAACGGACGTTCTCGCGAGAAGCGGGCCACGAAGCGAGAGCAGAGCTCGCGGCTCCTTCGCGATCGGCCCACCGGCATCCATCTCGGCAGCCCATTAAAATTTCAATAGGCGTGCTCTGCGAGCGGCGCAGGCCATTGAAACGACGCGGGCAGCGAGAGTCGCGGCTGACAGTGCAGAGAAACTCGCTGTGCCGCGACTCGGCTGCTCGTGAAATTCCCGCTTGACACGCATGCACAAAGCCGCCCGAGAGTAAAGTTGAACGGCCGCTATCAGGGCTGCTGCTGCTGCTGCTGCTGCTGCTGCTGCTGCTGCTGCTGCTGCTGCTGTTGCTGCTGCTGCTGTTGCTGCTGCTTGCATTTAATATTGAATAAGTTGGCGCTACGAGAGAGCGAGCGATGTAGCGACGGAAGTGCCGGCAAAGAGAAAGCGCGACTGACCCATATATCGCGACAATAGCTCTGTCTCCCGCGCGCGCTCGCTATCGCCTCTTTTCTCCCGTTGTTCCCTCGATTTCGTTCTCCGCACTGGCAACCCCATTCGCCCACTCTGCGCGCGCTATCTCACCGCTAGTTCGCCTCGCCTCTCGCGCTCGTTTGCAAGTGTTTAGCGCCGCCGCTGAACGTTGCCGAGGCTTTGTTCGGCCGTGGCGTGGCCCCACGAATCGGGGATCGGCGACCGAGGCGATACGCGCGGATCGAGAGCACAATTAACGGCGATTCGGGAGTGCGCGCCAAGATGCCACTCGACCCAGAGCCGAGTCGCCGAAAAAAAGTGTGGACTCGACGCAAAGGGCTCGGCTCTGTGTCAAGGGGGTCGCGCGCACTCAGGGTCAAGCGCCGAGCGCATCTCGAGGAGATTCTTATCGGCGCTATCAGCGCTAATACTTGCAGTGCACTCGAGGCCGGTCAAGTCGAAACACTCGAGGCGCGGCCCGCTGAGAGAGAGAGCCCCGGCCGGACACTGGAGAATAAAGGCTGAGGAGGCGTGCAAGCTGCGCTTGATCAGTGGCATTTATTGCTGAGAACATTACAGCGAGTGGAAGCGGCCGGCGCAACCGAGGGTGGTGGCGGCGGCGGGCGGCGGGCGGCGGCGGGCGCCGGCGGAAGGCGGCCGCGGACGAGGGACGAGGCCTCATTTGGACGATATCCACTGGGGCAGCATGTGGCCGGTCTCGCCGTAGCAGCGCAAGATCACGCGGCCGCTGGGCGTCACGGATATCCAGGTGATGCTGGCGTGGTTGAGCGACAGCCGCAGCCAAGCCTGCGGCGGGAACTGCAGCGCCCGGCAGACGAAGTAGCGGATGACGTTGGCGTGGCAGACGAGCACCGAGTAGCGGTCCTCGTGCTCGTGCGGCTCGGCGCGGTGCACGTACTTGCGGAAGGCCGCCTCGATGCGCGGCCCGTCCTGGTGGGCCACTCGGTCGGGCTTGTTCACGTGGCCGAGCGGCGGGTCGGGCGCCACAGGGAAGCCCTCCACCAGCAACGGGTCGCTGGACACCGGCACGCCCGGCAGCTGCGCCTCGATCAGCGCCGAGGTCTGCTGGGCTCTGGTCATCGTCGACTTGACGATGCTCGTGTAGGGCAGGTCGAGCTCGGCCAGCCGCATGCCCGTGACCTCGGCCTGCAGCCGGCCCAGGTCCGTCAGCGACTTGTCCGCGTCGCTCTTGCCGCGGGTGTTGTACTGGCCGTGCCTCACCAGTATTACGTGGTTGACCGCCCGCGCTTTCTTCCGGTCGCCCTTGGCGGCGCCGCTCTCGGCCGACGGGGCCTGCGCCGCCGGCTCGAGCTTGTCCCAGTTGCGCTCCCACTGCCAGCTGGGCGCGCTCTCCGACTGCCGCTCGCCGGCGCCCACCAGTACTCGCAAGTTGTCCGGCACTAGGCTACCGATGCCGAACCCGCCCAGGAATCCTCCGCCAGCGGCCATCAGACTGCGGTATTTGGCGAAGGGAGGCATGTCGACCGAACGAGCGGAGAGGAGCGACGACGAGGAACGAGGTGGAAAAGGGGGCCTGTGGTGGGTAATGCGCGCGTCGCTTACACAGACCTTTCAGTGCGTCCTGCGGGCCGCGTCCATGGCCGCGCGGCCAGTCAGCAGCTCCTGCGAACAGAAAGAGAGAGAGAGGAGAGTCAGGCGCAGCGAGCGACACAGCGGACAACGGGGACAAGAAGTCAATTGCGTTTCTTGCTCGGTCTTGGCGCCGCAACGCGAGCGCGGATTAATTACGTGCAATTGCAGCGAGTAATGGAGACGCGGGGCAGGGGGCTCCGAGCAACGGAGCTTGATTGCATTACCATAAAGCGCCCAGAAAACGGCGAAACCTCGAACAATGACGCTCGAGTGGCGGCGCCCGAGAGCAAGATTAGCGAGGCCACGCAACACTTGCCAGCCTCGACGGTGCACGACTAATTATGCACAAGATCATCGAGCGAGCTATATTTTTGACGAGCTGCAATCGCGCCAAAGTTGCGCGCTTCAATGCGCGCCGAAGATTAAATCTAAAATGAAGCTCCGGCTGCATAATCAACGCAGCGCCGCTCGCCTGCATTATGCAGCTCGACTCATTAATTAGCGAGCGCAATCGCGAGCACATCGGGCGCAATATTGTCGGGAGTTTAGGGAAGAGCTTTTAACGGCGACGCGCGCGCGTAAAAAGCGCCGGTCTGACGTTAATTGCGCGTTCGAGAGTCAATGAGGCGGCAGCCGAGGCGCCGTCTACCGGGGAGATTAGACGACGCAGACGCTCGAAAAGTAGGCGCGCAGAGTCGCAGAGTCGCAGAGTCGGCGCTAATCCGAGGCAGCCGCCGCGAGCAAGCTGGGCGGCATGGAGTGCAGCGCGCCACTGGCTTGATACGCATTACAGGGGCTTTTTCCAGCCGCAAAGCCCTCTTTGCTCCGCTTTGCCGGCTCGCTTGCCCGGACGAGCGCCAGCAATTGCCTCGGCTCGCCCCGCTGAATTATAAGCCCTGCGTTTGCTCGCCTTGGCCGCAGCCAGCTCCTAACTTGACACCTTAGCGCTAGCTGTGCGCGCGATACCCGACCAACTGGGTCGAGTCGATTGCGAGCTGTTTCCGCAGCGCGCGAGCTCCGTTATTCGCTTGTCTTGCCAACTCCCTCGCCGTCCCGCTCTCCGCGAATAACCTCGTCGTCCCTGTTCGCTTTCGCTCTTGCCGCAACTCACTCGATCGCCGATCGCAATCGCATCGGCAAGCTCATCAGTCTCGCGCGACTCACGACTCGCGACTCGCGCACTAATCGCTGTTTCATTGTGCACGAGCGGCGATTGACTCGAGCAGCGCCGCCGGCAGTATCAGTTTCGGCGCTGTTTGCCTTGGCTCACAGCAGCGGGAAGGAGAGGCGAGGAGCGAGGGCCGAGGGCCAAGGGCCGAGAGCCGAGGAGAGGCAAGAGAAAAGCGAGGAGGGAGTTTGACCAGAAACGGCAGCTCCGAGCGTCAACTTGGTCAACTTCGGAGCACTCGAAGGTCAACATCTTGGGGCTGCGCGAAAATGTCCGGGTGCGAGCGGCATTTAGCATGATTGGAGGAGGCGCGCTCAGGTCCGTGCGGATCAGTCGAGCGCGAAGCACGCGAGCAACTTGCGAATGGCCCGAGATTGAAAGTGGAGCCAGCCCGAGCGAACCCGCCAAAGTCCAAAGTCCACGCAGGACCGATTGCACTTTGGCGCGGCCTGTACAGCCACGCCGGCGTCGGCGGCGCGACTTCGTTAGAGGCGATCGATGCACGAGCTGCCCGCCAGCTAGGTAAATAAAACTTGCTCTCTACGGCTCTAATTGCAGACGCTAGCCGAGCCCTGTTTTCCTTAGCTTGCTCATCCGACCGCCGGCCGCTCGTTGTCCTCCCGCGGTCGGCGCGATCTGCCGCCGTCTCGCCCCCGTGGACCCAGGTCGTAGTCGCATTGATCGTCCGCGTCGAATCTCCGACTGGCGGCCACTTACTTCGGGGCTAGTGCTCGCCTCGCGCGCCCACGACGACAACCGCGACCACTCAAAAGGATGCGTGGCCCTTTTTGCTACTGCGCCAGTTCTGCTGCTGCTTCGAGTGCAGACAATAATTGGACGCTAATGAACGTTACGTTTGCGCATCGATCCGCCCTGATTCCGTGTTTCCACTCTTTCCGTTTTTTCGCGCCGCTTGCCGCTCGACGTTTCACAAATCCAAATAAAAAGAAGCAGCAAGACAAAGCAAAAACACTGGGAGGGCGAGCAAGGCGCACTTGTTAAGTCCCACTGTATCGTCGAATTATTCAACGCTGAAAAATTCGCCGGATTACAGTCAACAATTTCTCTCGCGCAATCGCTTCTCTTAACGAGGACGACTCGAGGCTATTGACCCACTTCTCCGCCGCCTGCATCCCTTTTGCGCGCTGCAGCTTTTCTCTGCTCTCCCATTCAGCAGCTACACGCTCAACCTCGCGCCAGCTCCGCTCCGCTCCTTTTCATAACTCACTATTTATACGAAAAAAAACTCGGCTATTTTTATATTTCAAAAGAATCTTCGAATAATCGTTGCTTACTTTAGTCGAGCTAATTTTACGTAACAGCATAATACCAGTTCTTTACCCAACTTTTATGCCTCCTGCCAATTTTCAATATAATCCTATAGTACTATTCCGCCAGTCATCTATACTCTTTTTGAATAAGTCGCCGTTCGTTATTTTTTATTCGCGAATAAATAACATAAACAAGATTTTTTAGTTTTAAATGCATTTTATTATTCTTAATGTACTTCAAGTTTGTCTACAGGTAACGAGTTTACCTCTGCAGTTTTTACATATTGCAACCGGTATAATGTGTATCTATTTTTGGTAAATAAGTACGAAATACGAAGTAAACTTCGTTAGAAAAATTTTATTTCAAAGCAAGTTTTAAAAAAGGTGAAATACATTTTTCTACCCAAAAATTTGAAATTCCACTCTCATTAAATTCCTTTTAAAAAGAAAATATTAGATTTTCTTAAAAAAAATTAAAAGTTACAACGAAAACAATAACATCCACCGTAACCTGTATCTTATTCAATACGCGACACATGACTATGTATTTACAGATAAGTATATAAATCAAAGTAGACGCACGTTCTTATTATGATTATAAAAACTAACCTACACCATACAATACATTATTCCCTCTATACGGTGAGTTCGCATATAACGGAAAATTCAAAACGTTTGGATCGACAAACAGTGGATTTTAGTGATCGAATAGAAAAACAAACTAAATTTTAATTTCCAGAAATGTTATAAGTACAATTGAAATTACCTGTATCGACTAATGTAAATATTTTTCCTTCACTTATAAACGTTTAACTATTATCAACAAATCACTGTGGCTAGATAATGACTAGATGGTTTGGTTAGTGATTCTTCATCGAAATAATCTCTAAGTAATGAATACGATATGTTGTTGCAACGTTCTTTTGGAACCAGTATATTTTATCGCTTGAAAACAATTTTCAGACGAAAGGAGGAATAAAACTGTAGATAAACCTAACCTGCACGGCACGTATAGCGCACGTTTCAGGAGGCACTTAACATCTCGGAGCCCGAGCGGACATAAGATATATAGAACATACGTCGACGCTATACAGTGTTTGTGCGTTCTAAATGACCGTAAGCGCCATCTACAACTCTACATCGCGTCGATTCAAATTTAAGAGTATGTCGAATGGAAAATGTTTTCTGAAAAATGCAAGTGAATTTTCATGGACAAGTTTCTATTCGTTTTCGAATGAGGTAAAAATGTGACTTTATGGAAATTCATGAAAAGTGCATAAAATTAGTTTTGCTGAAAAGTAGGCAAAGCAAGCCGACGGAATACTGCAAGAGCGGAGTTTTGCAATCGCGTTTCTGCAAACTATGATTCTCTATAGAATATTATTAGGGGATATGTGTTGATATTTGAAATGTATACGCGGAAGTTTGCTGGCGTAGTCGACGCTGCTGCCTCGGCAATATTTCCCGTTTCTAAAGATACACCGCTGCGCCCGAGGAACACGACAGCTACAAGAAACAGAACAAGATTTATCTTGGAGGGAAATCGCCCGTGCGACGCGACGCGCCCGAGCGCTGTTTTGTCGGCATCGTAAACATTTTAGCTGCAACATTTGCCTGCTCAACGGGTCTTATTTACATCAGCCATGCGGCTATCTTGTTTGCGCAACTATACGACAACGGCTGATGAATAATAAGGCACGCGAGCAGATCCAGGTCCCCGTGGCAATTGCTGATTATCGAGCGGATACAGCAAAGTTGGCTGCGGCGACGAACGAGCGCCGAGCATTTGGGATTTTGTTTGGCTTGCAAATGAGAATGTTGCGCCTCAGGTGCGCGTTCGCGAAAGTTGGCTCTATTATTTCAGCGGATAGCCGACTGTTTGCGTCGGAGACTCGTCGAGAAAGTATATACGTGGTCGATTTGCCGGCGCACAGGATTTGCTCGAGCAGCCAGATATAGAAGTGGGAAAAGCGAGGCGGCGGGATATACCCGCTAATGGATACTAATAGCAAGTCGGCCGATGTATCTCGCTTTGTTTTCATCTAATTGCACTTTCTCGTCGGAGCTGTCCGCCCAGCCGATGTTTGTCTTTGATTTTTCCGCGCGCGAACAGTCAACCGCGTATTGGGTACCCCGGCACCTTGCTGCATTTCACGAGTGGGGCGATCAGGCAAGCCCCGACGACGCGCGCGCAGACGAGGAAATTCAGCGAGCTAAGAGGACAAAGAAAGGCAGAACGAGAAAATACACGTTTGAGGAAAAGGGAGTTACCAAGTGGCCGAGAGCCGTTTGCTTTGGTGTTCGGGGTGGGGAAAGCTGATCCGAGGGGTCGCGCGGCGGTGACGCGGGGCTTTTTTCGACAGCCGAGCGGACTTTGGCCGGCAGGAACGGCGCGGGGGGAATGGGGCGGAGGAGGGCATCGGTCGGTCGATTGCGCGCAATCGGCGGCCACGTACGCGGGGCTCGGAAAAATCTTTAGCTCGAAGTGCTGCGGCGGGCGGGGCGCAGGTAGAGGCAAGTTCGGCCAGAAAATCCGTAAAAGTGCATTAACGCGCGCGAGTTAGTTCCGGGGGCAAATCCGCTCAGGCAGG